TATATATATATTTCTTTTCCTGTAAATAACATACATATTATGTTACAGTGCCCTGAAATAAGGAAGTAAAGCAGGTTAATTATCAAGTAAAAACACAACTATTATTCTGACATACGTCTGATACTCTGCCGAAGTGAAAGACTTGTAGAAAGTTATTTTAAGTATCTCATGGAACTGAAAGAGACTAAGTACAGATTTTCTTACCTTTAAAAATTGTCAGCGCTTGTGAAGGCAATATGAATTGAGAAAAATACTTTATGATGTAAGAATATCGTCCCTGAAAAAATACTTTATGATGTAAGAATATCGTCCCTGAACAAATCATTTATCTTCTAATTAAAAACAAGAATTGTGACAAACCTAGAAGGGGGTGGAAGGGGAACGTATCAAATCATGAATAAAGTCTTCGGCCAAAGAACCTGTTCAATTTCTCTAGGCCTTAATGTTGATCATTTCATTTTTCCCTTATAGCGTTTTAAAGTATTAAGTTATATCTTCAACCGTTCTATTGTATCTACAACGCTTTTAACAATGGTGAGCTATGTATTTAATACTCGCTGGAGTACGCGTCCTCTGGACAGAAGTTATGTAAATTCATGATTAATGAAATGTTATCTTAGGACATGAAAAGTTGCTTCCCTTATATGTAATTGTAACAACAACAACAACAAAAACAAAACAAAACAAAAAAAAAACACGCAAAAACGTTAATAAAAACTGCAAAACACAAAATGTGAAACCGCATATTTGTATGTATCCCGCATGGACCCAACAAACCTTCATGCCAAATTTGGCGAAGATCCATCCACAGAGGGCGAAGTAGTGGCAAAAAAACGCCCATAAAAACCGCAAAACTGAAAATTTGTATTTATTTCCCCATGGATCCAATGAACCTCCATACCAATTTTGGTGAAGGTCCATCCACACGGTGCGACGTAGTTACATGGACAGACAACAGACAGTACTATTATATTTATATAGATGCAGCAGTTAATAAACAACATTGTTGGAGGTTGTGATTACTGTAACGTGTAATTAGTCTGCAACAGTATTTTTGGCAGTGTTACAAATTTTAACAATTTTGAGCCATGTAGTTATTATTTAACAGTATAACTTGATACTGTTGTCGGCTGTGACAAAACTGAACCATGTAGATAATCTGCAACATCAGTGACATTGATTTTAGTATTTTTAACACAACGAGAAAAAAATTCGGTTAACGAACAGGATACGCCTGAATATATTCCAACATTTTATTGTACACGTGTTCGTCACGTGACCTTTATAACCTTTATCATTTTATAATCAGCAAAAACAGGGGATGTCAATACATTGAAAATCCAAATTAATTACACATCAGTAAAATACCGTATAATATGTTAAAACTAAACTAAAAAGCTGTGAAATATAAGTTTATATTAAAAAATATAATTATTTAAAAAAACAACAACTTTTATTTACTTATAAATATTAAATTGTGAAAGAAATGCCTTATAAAACAATTTATAATAAAACACCTTACCAACAGATTCACTGGTGATTTTGTTTCCGTGTTCTGTTGTCTAATCATATGATTAGAATGAGCATGGTTTTACAAAATAGATAAAGAAGCTATTCGAATGGGAGTAGGCATATATTAAAATTTGACATTATTGAGAATAAGGTTCTTGACTTATGGTTTCGAGTACATGCATTTCGGTATTTAAGATACTTTAAAACACTGCTCTATAGGAGACATATTTACATACATATTTGAAGTTTATTATGTATGCACAAATTATTAGACGTTCTGGAAAATAAGCACATTACACAGAAATCAAAATTGTCAAAAAAAACAACAGCCACATGTTATTCTAAAGTTATTTTAAAATTAATAGTGACAAGAATTAACTTGTAGTATAGAATTAATTAAGTTATAATAATTTATTAACATTTCAAAAAGAGAACGTGAATTTAAACAAGTTAGACTAGTTGAGAGACTTAAAGATTTAAAAAGGTAAGAATCATTTCAAAGAAGTTAATTGCAAAAATTTTTCAACGAGAATTTTATTTTCAAATATATTATTAGAGAAAATTTTAGGAAGATTAATTGCCGGCGCTTTTCCGTTTGATGAACTGTTAAATTGTTATTTTAATAAACGTTATTCTAATACAGTTTTATGTGCTGAATTGAGAAACATGTGTATTTATTTGCAGATATGGTAAGAAAGTAGTGAAAAGGACGATTAAACTTATTACTGTTCTTTATAGGTTTTACAGATAAAAATGAAAAATAATTTATTATGGTTATGGACAAACTTATAATTTGAAGAACAATTGGTACATTTTTTTTTGTAATCCTTTAAAATTACCCACAAAAAAGGATGTGTGGAACAAAACATTAAATGAACATGAAGTTACTGCCTGACTGAACTACATGAAGATGTCAAAAAGCTCCTGTAACGAATCATATTTAATTACGAAGGGAACCTGGTTAGAAGGAACAACACTCCCTTTGAAGAAATAATTATGTTTATAGATTGTTGGTCCACAGAATACACAAGCATCAAATTTGGCAAAGGTTAACTTCACATAAATTGATGTACTTTGGTGGACTACAACAATTATTTGAGAGAGGTGGTCGACTTTTATTTGTGTGAATTCTTTTAGCATCATAGAAACTGATGGATTGTGATGGAGGTATGATGCGTATGATGGCCTGCATGAAGTATAGTTACTGCAGATGTTTTTGCAGGTTTCTTCATCTTCTGTGAACAGTTTGAGGCTATTACTTTATATCTTGTCGCAACAGAAACTTTCTTTATTAAGGTGTCTTCTCGATCCAAAGGGTATTGTCAGGTATGCCTTCACATGCAAATGCTGCAGGTCATCATTGCAACGAACCAGACCCTCGGTGATGCCCCGCTTCAAAACTTTGAACTCTGCCCCATGAATTGCCAAATTTTCCACCGGGACAAACAGTCAGCACAACTCAGTAATGACTGTCTCATAGTTACAGAGTTGTACCTCACTGATGTACTTAACATATTCCAAGTCTGTACTGTCTAAACTCAAGATCAGTCTTTGGGCAACCTGTACCAGAGACCAACCATTCCAGAGAGTTATCTGCCTGAAACACTCCAGGAAACAGTCCGGGTCTTCTTTTGCTGTACCCTTGAAAGTTGGGGTCGTAATTTTTCTTTCTTCACTCACAGAAGGCCCATGGTTATGACCAAAGTCTCTCCCTTACGAACTCTCGGCCAACATCTGGCTGAGGTACTGTCGACTTTGCGGGTAAAGAGGTGCTGGGCGTCCTCAGGGACCCTGACCCTCAGATAAGTGGTCGAACTCTGGTCCAACAGGGCAAAATGCTGAGTTGCTCTTGGCATCTCATCCATCATTTCTGCTTGACCCCATGTTTCTCCGTGATCAATGGCTGTCCTCGCAGTATACCTTTCTGCCTGGAGAAACTCTCTATGTCTCATATATAACTATTATCATAATTAATTTCATTCCATCTCGCCTGCCAGTGAGATAATTCCTATTGGCGGACACATTCCACAAACTGCACCTTCAGCTTTTCTTAACTATTCTCATGTGGGACTACTCGAATTAGTGAAGGCATGGGGATCATAGAGACTGACCCACTAAGTCTTAGACTTACTAGCCACCATAGAATTACGATGACTCTCAGTCATTCGTATCTCCTTGGCACTGAGGCCATTCTTTATGGGGAGAACTTGATCGACTGATCTGGGTTCACCAGACATTGTTTGGTCTCCTTCCTGAGTCATTGGTCACAATGAGAAAGAAGTCATGGACCCTAACAGCACCGGCAAAATCTTCTATCCAGGAGAATACTGCTAGACTTTGGGCAAAAATTCCATTCTCAGTCTATCCCTCTTATTCATACATTCTTCAATGTGAAGGCTTTTAAACTTAAAGACACAAACATTTATGTAAAGGCAATACACATGGCAGACTCTGTGGTATTTTAAGATAAAACTGCCCCTCCCCCCCAATAGATTCATCAAGACATTTACTATGAAATAATTATGTTTTCTCTGACTAACTAAGTTCGATAGAAATAGACAGAGGCTGAACACAAGTGCACAATCAGAATAACCATCATTTATTTAGATAAATACAGTGAAAATACAGTTTACTTGCCATAATGAGAAGTTACCTTTCTGAAAAGTAAGGTGTGAAGTTGTTCTAAAATTTTCAGAGGACATCATAGCACCTGTTGACGTCCTGTTCTACACTGAATAAATCTCACGTTACTTACTTATTTCGTTAACCTAAGATTTAATCAGAGCGACGAGCACTATCCACGTGCATAGTCGTTCCCAATGAAACACAAGAAAGTTCGTTAACTTAAAAGATAGCCTGATTGTCAATAGAAACGATAACTGTCTAACTTCACATTCTATAGGTAATCTTACAGCTGTCTTTCTCACGGGAATACAAAAGGCTTTACTCTAGGGAAATGACACACAACAATATGTAGCTATTGCAAAAGGAACTTGACAACCTTTGCGTCCAAAGTGTTATGTAGAAACTACAAAAACATCCATAAATAATAAATTTTGAACATTTTATATATAATACAAGGAGGTAGAAAACATAGTATATTTATATACCACACACACCTGGCTGCTATTTTGGTAACCGTAGACTTAAAAAGTTAATCACTGCCAACTTTTGCCTATTTTTTCCTTATCCGTTGTTTTCATCAATTAGTGTCTATTGTTTCCATAATATTTATGGTTAAATAGTCCTAAAGCATTTCTATATATATATATATATATATATTCACACATTCCTCGTCACGCCACACAAAAAAAAATATATCATTACTGTAATCTTTGTCTTTAGTTCCGACAAAAAAAGGTAGCATCAAAAGCGTAACTTTCATTAAACGGTTTTACTAAAAATCGTTCATTGTGACAAACATGTCGACCGAAAACGAGAATATATATATATATATATAAATATCTATGACGAATTCTGGTGTTGAACGAAAGGCGTCTTAGTCAACTGAAGAATAGATTTTGAAATATCATACTTACACGCCTCTGATTTGACAACCGTAATTATACCTAATTAAGAGAAATGTCAAGAAACATATCTGCAGTCTAATGTGATTTTTATATCACTGTTATCAATTAAGCGTATTAATTGCATTACCTTTCGGGCTTTTAGGGCTTAAAACCGTAAAATAACATGAAATCCTATATGTCCAACAATAAAATCTATGAAAATAACACGCCTATATATAGGATGATATTAGAGCAAGGTTAGCTGACAGGTTTAAATGCGTATGTGGTCACGTGGTACAAGCAAACATCATTCATTTCAGGAAGAGATGTATAAAATAAGCGGAAAGGAACATACACCGTGTTTACTGTATTTACATTACAGCACTCGTTAACAAATTTGTATGTTGCTTGTATAGCTATAGTTTTTTTTTAATTTAGAAAGAAACTGGATTTTGTCCCTGCTTTGACCTGTCTCCAGTTTTTAATTCATCAATAGTTTGTTATATTCGCATGTTCAAGTTTACAGAAACTGCTCCTGTGAGGTTTCTATATTAACACATGTGTCTCTAGGTGCTGTCTGATCATATTGTTCTTCTGTTGCTACATTCTCAGGATGAAGTGTTCCACACTTTGTTGGATTTTCCAGTTTCTTTCCGTTGTCATGACGAACACTTATGTTGTTTAGGGGTGAATCCGTATCAACAGTCTCTGTTAAGTAAGGAGCTAAGGAAACGGCAATGTTTATAGATGACATGACGGATGCTATCAAGGATTCTAGATATTGTCTTTTCCGATCAGCACTTAGTTTCTTCTCTGTTACTAACTGCTGCATTTTTCTATCTATAGTACTGTTCAGAAAACCTGGTTGAACTGTAATTTCTTCTTGTTTTGGGATAACCTCTACTTCTGGCTGTTGTTTACTGGCTGTTTGCTGCTGCGCAGTCAGTTTGGGTTTTGGGTGACTGTATTCTCTTCCACGTTTGTCTGCTTTGGAGGATTTGGGCGCATCAAACAAACAACAGGCCCAAACAATTACGGCAAACAAAATTAAGAATATGGCAGCAAGAATTAGAACAATAAATATACTTTCCACGTCAGCCATTACAGTTTTCAGATTTTAACCGCTTGAAGTTCAATCGTTATCCGTTCTGAAAAGTGTATTATTCAGGTTTTGCTGCACAGCAATCTGAAAATAAAAACAGCAATATTTTAAATTATTTTAATGTCTCAAAAACCGCATTATTATGAACATATTAAAGTACACAGTCTTTTATGTATTCAAAAATACAATTAAACAGTGAAAACAGTTTAATTTTAATAACTTATACATAAGTGCTTAAACCAAAAGCAAATAAAGAGGGATAAGATTATTAAAAGATGAAAAAATAAGAGTAGTGATAAGTAGCTTGCTTCATTTCACTTAAATGAAGTAAGAAAATAAATGATAAAATGTTATGAGCTTGCCATGAATAAAACTAAGTCTTATTCAAGATATCTTCTCGCGTTTTTATAACCCCATCTGAGATCATATAACTTAATTCTAAAACAGTGCTATTTTAGCGGAAGACTACTATTATGAAGTTAATAAGATTTTCATAACTTTTCACCGGTTTAAAGAACTAATCAACACGTTAATTTGTGATTAAATAAGAAAGTAAATTATCTCGTCTCACCTGCATTGAAATTTTCGACCCACTATCGACATCAAAGTATCAGTAAACTATACTAAAAGGAAGAAATAAAGCAGCAGAAAGTACACAGCAGTATGTGACTATTTTCGTTATATTAACTTATCTAAATTTTATTGCTACAACATTTCGAAAAGGATGTGTCTGTAGTGGCGCATGAAATCGTTTCCGTTCTTTACCTCAACCAATAAAATACTCCTATTTTGCAGTTTTTTTTTGTTTTTTTTTACTTGCTGATCTGTCGATATCCGCTAAAGTTTTATAAAGTGTTTATATCTTTCACACAGTAGTATAACCAGGACTTGGATGGTTGGGTGTGAGGATTACCAAATAGGCAAATACAAACAAAAACAGCATGTGTGTGTGTGTGTGAGAGAGAGTTTTTTTGTAGTGCAAATGTACACAATAGGATATCTATGCTCAGTCCACCATGGGGAATTGAACCCTGGATTTTAGTGGTGTAAGTCTATAAACTTACCGCTGACCCAACGGGGGAAAGGATGAGAAAGATAATTGTGGATCATTTCATTAAAATATTCGAAACACATCTTTTATTATTTAGCTATTAAACTTTACTTTTTATTGAGCGTAAACAATGAATGGAAAATAATATAAATATTGGGATCTCCGTGGCTACTACACTAATACTTTCAGAAGATTTGATTGTATAGTGTTGAGCTAATACTTTCAGAAGATTTGATTGTATAGTGTTGAGCTAATGCTCTCAGAAGATTTGATTGTATAGTGTTGAGCTAATACTTTCAGAAGATTTGATTGTATAGTGTTGAGCTAATGCTCTCAGAAGATTTGATTGTATAGTGTTGAGCTAATACTTTCAGAAGATTTGATTATATAGTGTTGAGCTAATGCTCTCAGAAGATTTGATTGTATAGTGTTGAGCTAATACTTTCAGAAGATTTGATTGTATAGCGTTGAGCTAATAC